CGCGTCGGGGCGGCCGGGCGAGCGGGGGCACGGGAGGGGGCCGGGCCGGGTGGCCGCGGAGGCCGGGTCTGCTGCGAGGCCGCGCCCCTGCCTCCTCGGGGATGAGCTCGCCCTTCCCGAGCCCGCAGGCCCCTCCCTGACAGGCTCCCACCCTGTTTCCCCCTCCTCGGCCCGGCGGGGTGGGCCCCTCCTCCCTTTCATCCCCGCCTGCCCCATCCCCCGACCGAAGACCACCCCGGAGGAGTCCCAGGCGCTGCCCGCCCGGCCCCGGCCTCCATCCGCGTGCCTTGCCCACCCGGGGCTCGCACTGGGGCCACCCCTTATCCTGTCTCTAAGCCCCCCGGGAAGAAAGAGGTGCTGGGGAAGCCGTAGCCCTGGGTCCGAGTTGCCCGCCCGGCTCCGTGACCTTGAGCCAGGCGCTACGTGTCAGGCCTCAGTTTCCCCGTCTTGACAACTGGGGGCTGGGTAATTGGCCCCCGGTACTGGTGGTTGTGGGCCCGGATGGGCAGAGCAGAAATATACCTCCTCCAAGGAACCGTCGACAGTATCCTGGGGGCCCCCACCTCCTCTCTCTGCACCAAACTCAATGTCTGCATCAGTCTTGACTGGGAGGATGACTTTCATCCTAGCCTCCTTTTCAGTCCCTTCCCCCTTACCAGGAGGCCCAAGGATTGGGTTGCAGGACAGTTAGGGTATAAAGACCCCCGAGACTCCCTCCCTGGGGTCCCCTTCCCGGGGTTCCCCCAACAGCCATCACACAGGTTCACCTGGTCCAATGCAGGTCCGTTTATGCCAACCCGCTCCAGCCCTGCCCCAGGCCCTTGAAGGCCTACTTGGGGCAAGGGCCCACCTCACTGTCACCCCTGTCTTAGGTTCCTGTGTCCTCATGGAAGGACAGGCTGTGGCCTGGGAGCCTAACTGTATGTCCAGGCAAGCCTTACCCTCTCCAGGACTCAGTCTCCCCATCTGTACAATGGGGAGGGGCAGGTTTGGGGGATTCGCCAGGGCCCACCCAGCTCCAAGGATGCCAGGCCCCTAGGATGACTAAGCATGCCTGGTGGCCGGCTTAAAGAGGTGCCAGTCGTCCTCAGAGCAGGTGTCGGGGAGTGCCCAGCTCTGCAACCCCAGCAGCCCCTCATAAGCCCAGGCATCGCCAAGGCTCAGACGAAGCATGAAGCACCTCTGGGCTTCCTTGCCTTTCTCCTTCTGTAGGGGCTTCAGCCCCAGATGCACCAGCCCAGTCCTTACTCTTTGAAGGTTCCTCTTCCTGGGCAGGCAGGGGAGGAGAGGGGCTGTGACAAGAGAGTTACCTGCTGCCTTATCCCTAAATCCTGCTGCTTTCTTTCTCCCTATCGACCTTGCCAGACAGTAGCTGAAGTTGAAGAATGCTGTTGCTGGAGGGTGGACATCTGATTCCCCTCTTGAGTTTACAGATAGGGAAACCGAGGCCCAGAGAGGCCTAGCAACTTAGCCAAAGTCTCAGCAAGACTCTCAGACCCGCATCCTTTATCCTTCTGCTCGGCACAGCGCCTGGGCGCTGCCTGTGTGTGCACAGGGATGGGCAAGTCCACGTGGGATGGGCAGGGCAGGCTGGGCCTCCGAAGAATGGTTCCTGACTCCCTGTCCACTTTGCAGGAAGTGAGTTGCCCGTGTGTGCGAGCTGCGGCCAGAGGATCTATGATGGCCAGTACCTCCAGGCCCTGAATGCTGACTGGCACGCAGACTGCTTCAGGTAGGCGGGGAGGGGGCCCTAAGCAAGGCCTGCCAGAGACGAGAGGCTGGGTCAGCAATCTGGGAAACCCGGCTCTTCCTTCTGGTGCTGTCTCTGGTTGTGACCACCTGGCTGAAGGGGTTTCTTTTAGGCAGTGGAAACCTCTGACAAGGTTTGTGTTATTTTTCTTTAAGAACAGCACCCAACGTTTTCTCTAATTTAGTAAGGGCCAGGCACCCTCCTAAGGACTTTGTCTAGTTAACCTATTGTGTTGTCTCCGTTAATGGGGACACGGAGGTTAATTCTCTTGACCAGAGTCACACACAGCCAGTGAGTGAAAGGGACACACAGCGTCCACCCTGGCTAGTGAGGCCAGAAGAGAGGCAGGCGCCAGACCCGGGGGGTCCCAGTCAGGAGTCCACTACGAGGCCTTCCCTAGGCCTTCAGGGAAGGCGGCCACCAGCACGGAGACAGACACAGACAGGAACAATAGCTCATTTGGTTGGAAAAGAGCAGGGGGAGGAGGCCAGGTTGGGATCAATTTGCAAAAGGGCCCTAAGGCCAAGATAAGGACCTTCCAAGGGCAAGAGGGAGCCAGCAGACAGGGTTTGCAGAAAGCAGGGGAGGGACGTGGGCAGAAGTGCCATCCCAGTGGGCAGATGGCGGTGACTTGGCAGAGAAGGGACTGTCACAGTAGTTCAGGGATCCGAGCTCGTACGGGCTGACCTAGGACGGGGACTACAAACGGAGAGAATTTCAGCTGTAGAAGGAACAGTATTGGCAAGTGGCTGTCCCAGCTGCCAGCATTTATTGGGCATTCTTAACATTACACTGACTCTGAACAACACGGGTTTGAACTGCGCGGGGTCCACTTAATAGGCAGATTTCGCATGGTGCCGTACTGTAAATGTATCTTCTCTTAATGATTTTCTTCACCACCGTTTCTCTAGCTTGCTTTTCTGTAAGACCACGGTAGGTAGTACACATAAATACGAAATCTGTGTTAATTGTACCGCTTATATTACGGGTAAGGCTTCCAGTCAACAGAAGGCTATGTGTACTTAAGATCGGAGTTGAAAGTCTGGGCTTTTGCCCCGGGTGCTGGGGAGGACGGTGGGCCCTTGGCTCTCGTGAAGCTGGGGCCCGGTGGGTGATGAGCCGTGCCCAGCCATGTTGATTTGAAACGCAGCAGACCATCCAGGGTGGCAGTGCCCTGCCTGGCGCTGGGGAGGTGGTCTGAGACCACTCGGTCACGGGTGGGATTCAGGATGGGGCTGAGAGAAATCAGGAAGAACTTTGGGGCCCCCTGTGCTGGGGGTGGGGAGGGAGGTGGGATTTGGGGAGTCATGCCGGAGGGCCGGGAATGCGGCCTCGGAAGCCACAGCAGGGAAGGAGGGGGGCAGAATGTATCAACCTAGCTTTGGACGGGTTCCTGCCCTTCATAACCAAGAGAGGGGTAAGGCCCCAGGTCAGGGCCCTAGGGAAAAGGCATGTGCCGCTGAGCCGGCTGTGATGGGGGCACAGAGAAGGCTCCCGCAGTGAGAGAGGGTCCACAGGTAGTAAGAGCCACAGCGTCCACACGCTGGCTTCCACAAGTGCTCCTGGCCCAGCAGTGTGTGCTCCGCCCAGCCCCCCCGCCCCCAAATCTGAGCAAGGCCAGCAGCGTCCTTACCCCCGTGACAGTGAGGAATCACTCAGGACACGCTGCTTGCCCGAGCCCCACGGCTACCCAGCAGCCAGCTTCTGGTCTCTACTTGCCTTGTCCCCAGGAGCCTCTCAGTCCATGTCGTGCACCGGCAGCAGTCGCTGGCTCCCCAGGCCTTGTGGTGAGAGGGTTGTGAGTGCATACGGCATGCCTCTGGCATCAGTGCTGGGGTCCCTGTCACCACAGGACCTGCTCCTTCCTCAGCTCTAGCTCTCCCACCTCCCGGAGGGTTATGGCCGGGCTGAGTCGTCCAAGCTCTGCTTTGGTCCAGCTGCTGCCTTGGTGAGGTCCCTTCCCAGAAGCCCGCGGCACTCGAGCCCCGGGGGCCACCGTAGCTCTGGAGACATCTCCCTGGAGGCCTGGGGCAGGGGGGGGGGGGAGGGCTGCCCTGGGCGAACAGGGGTGAGCCCACAGCTGGCACAGGGCTCAGAGCCCAGGCCGGGAGGCAGTCTCCCCCGCTTCGGGGGACCTTTCAGGCAAGGGGAACAGACTGTCTGTGGAAGTCAACCTCCGTTCCCTTGGGAGCAGCACCGGCAGGAGCAGCTGCCTTTGAGCTTGTCCCTGTCCCCAGAGAGTCCCAAGCCTCCGGGACCTCTGTCCAAGCAGAGGCCGAGGGGCACGGAGGGTGCTTCCTAAGGTGTGCAGGGCTGAGGGCCACCCGAGCCGCCAGCGGAACCCAGGCAGAAGGCCCCTCAGCTGCTTCCTGTTGTGGGCCCAGACCAAGTCCTGCTCACCAGTGTTGCTGCATCGTCCCCGCTGCTGTGTGGCCGAGCTAGCCCCACCCTCTGCAGCCTCCAATCCTGAGGGCCTGGGGTAGGATGGGGAAGCAGCTGGCTGGGCCCACCCCACCGCGGGCGCAGCCCGCTGCCCCCTGCTGCAAAGGATGCTGGCCCTGAGAAGAAGCCGCTTCCTCAAAGGAGCCAAGTGAGTGCAGAGCCCCTCTCCACCTGTCCCAAACCATAGGCAGGGCCCCCCACCCCCCTGCCGCCCCGGGGCCCGGAGGCCACGGTGGGGCAGACCTACCTGGGACCCAGCTGTGGGGCAGGAGAACCGAGAACCGAAACCTCTAGGTCACTGTCTGGCCGCCTGCTGGGGGAAGCAGGCCGCTGCTGAGACTTCTGGTCCTTTGATCCAGTCTCCCCGCGAAGCTGGTCCTCCAGCCGCTCTTTCTGCGGGATGTGGCCCTGGGTCGAGAGTGTCCCTGGGAGGGCTGGACCTGTCACTGCAGACCTTGCCTCCCAGCGCAGCTCTCCGTGTCCTCCCCAGGGTCCTCCTCCCCACCCGAGCCTGGCTCTGTAGGTGCCTGCTCTCAGGGAAGTGTGCCCTGGACTGGGGCAAAGACCGTCTTCCAGGAGCTCCTCTCTCTGGCCCTTCGGCCATCTCTGCACATCCTCAGTACTGGTGCTCCTCTTTTGACATCCTTGCTGGGGGCAGCAGCACGTGCGGGGCATCCCTAAGAGCCAGGCCTGCGCACCCCACGTTCCTCCTCTGGCTTGTGGCCCAGACAGAGGCCTGAGGGGTGAAGGGATGGACAGGGGCCAGGGGTTCCTACGTGCCTTCCTCGTGCAAAGGTACGCCGAAGCCCTGAGTGCCAGTACCAAGCTGCTGGGTGAGTCTGGGCTAGATCCCCTCTCTGAGATGGAGACCCCGCCCGGGTGCCCTCGAGCAGTTCTGAGGGTGCTGGCGGATGAGACCTGCTCCAGGTGGAGCGTTCAGCAGGAACCGCTCACCTTCTCTCTGGGGTCCAGCATTTGTGGATGCCTGACATGGGACCTCAGAGAGCCCTTAGGTTGATGGCAGAGACTGGTAGGGCCAACGGAGGCTGGCGATGCAGACAGGCCTGGTGGAGGTGCAGACTGCTTGGAGGCACCCCCTCCAGGTGACTGAGCAGACTTCAAGGAAGTGGTGGCCAGGGAGCCGACTACACCCACCCAGCCCTGAGTCAGCGCCACCCGGGTCTTCCAGGCCTGCTACGGCGATGAATGTGCGGGAGTGAAGGGGTAGGAGTTTGTAGGCAGGAGAAGAGCATTCTCTCCCCCATAGGAAGACAGCTGCTCCCGAGCCCCCACCAGCGCACCCACCCACCCACCCAGAGGCAGGCGAGGCCCTGCTTCCTGCAGGCTGGCAGCCAGGAGTGAGGGGGAGACTTCTATGGTGACACTGCTGTGACGCGAGGACGGTCTGGTCGGTCTGGTCGGTGGAAGGACAAAGTGAATCACTCACTGATTGCCCCAGGACGCGTGGGAGGTGGGGGAGCCTCCCCAAGGTCACGGTGCTTGCACACCAGGCAGCCTCTCTGCAGAGCCCGCTCCTCTGTGCCTTCCCGCTAGGTTGCAGCCCCCTGGGGGCGTGCACCAGGGATCCCCTCAGCCTGGGCTGCCGCCCTCCGGGCCCAGTGCCTTACTTGCCCCTTCGCCCACCTTGCCCACCTCGCAGTGAGATGCGTGCCCTAAGGACGCCTGGGGCTGGGGGCCTGGGAGTGCTGGGCAGGAAGGGCTGAGAATGACGTCATGGCTCCGGGCCAGCATTGCTTCCGCTGCCTGGTCTCACATCCCAGAGCAGTCTCCGGAGGCCCTCCCTCCCCCACACCCTCCTCTTGTAGGGGGAGCTCGTCGAACTCCCCCATCTTCCTGGATGCACCCCCACCCCTGTGCTTCTGAACCTGGGCCGTGCCTTCTCCCCAACCCTCAGCCAGTGGCTGTGGTCCCCCGCCCCTCCCCTCAGGCTCCCAGACAATGGGGAACTGTCTGGATCCTCTTAAAGGGACAGTGTCCCACCAGCACTCTGGCCTGTGGGCCTCTCCCTCCTCTTCATTCCCAGTTCCCTAAAGAGCATCCGTGTGCCCTCAGTGAGATCTCCCGCATGCCTGCTGCAGAGGCTGAGGGTTCCCTGGCTGTCTGGGGGACTGGGCAGTCTCACTCAGGCCCCAGTCTTTCCTCTGCTCTCCTGGATTGTTTCTCTGCTGGGCGTGAGCTCAGAGTCTCCTCCCCTGTCCCTGCATGACCTTGGCACATGACCCAGAGTGCTCAAACAGCAGCAGAGCCGGACAGATTCTCTGCTCCTTGTGTATGCTGGCCTGGGCGTACCTGTGCACCCAGGACCCTGAGTCAGGCTCTTCAGAACGAGGTGTGGCTCCTGCCCCCGCTGGCTCACCAGGCACCCTGTGCTTCCTCATCCTGCCGGCCTGGCCTCTGTTCCCCCTCCAGCTCACTCCTGGGTGGAGGGCAGCCAGGCATGTAGGTCTAGCTCCTGGCCTGTGGGATCACACATAGAAGCCGGTGCATCATTTCTCTCCATCTACCCCAACCAGGCCTCCCCTATGGCCCCTCCCAACGCTGCAGGGGTATCCTGACCTTGAGGACTGCACATCCGGGCAGTCTCTGCAACAGTGCCATGGCCCTTGTGAGGGAAGGTGTGGGCACTGGGGCTCTGGTTGGGCCCCCCCTTCTTGTGACTACAGCATCTGATAGCTAGGAAACAGGGAGACCCTCTGTCTGTCTTCACTGATCCTGGCTGGTTCTGCTGAGCTAAACGTCTGCCTCATATGGTCGTGAAACGGGGAGTAGCTCTGCAGGGTCTGTGGCACCCATCATGTGGCCCAGGGCAGTTTAGAGCCTCCAGAACTAACCTTTCTCATGGTGGCCTGTGTGGATTGAGTACATTTCGCCAAGACGGTGGGAAGGTGCCAGCATCTGGTAGGTCTCCACAGCTCCAGCAGGTCACTGCCATTTGCATCGGCTGGCACTCGTCCAGCCACCCCACCCCCACCCCGCTGAGGCCTGGGCTCCCGGGTTCCATTCCCCTCTCCACTGGACTGGTGACCAAGAGCAAGTCATTTGCCTTCTCTGGGCCATCTTCCTTGTGTGACAAGGGACAGGGGCTCAAACGTGAGGAGCATCTGTCACCCTGGGGCTAGCAGCCCGGCCAGATGCTCTGGGTGCAGAAGTACATGGGTGGTTTTGCAGGCTGTGCACTGCACAGAGGCTTCCAGCTGAGGGACCAGGGGCAGCTGAAGCCATCCCTGGCTCCACCTGCTAAGCCCTCTGCCCCAGCGCAGGCTTTTTCTGCCCAAGGAGGGTGAGGGGCGGGGGCACACCTTTTTCTGATTCTTACAGAGGCAACTTATAGACTGTGGCAAGGCCCAGCTGTGCAGTGGGCCAGACTCAGACCCTGTGCCCGCCCCCCCCCCCAGGTGTTGTGAGTGCAGTGCCTCTCTCTCGCACCAGTACTACGAGAAGGATGGGCAGCTCTTCTGCAAGAGGGACTATTGGGCCCGCTATGGAGAGTCCTGCCATGGGTGCTCGGAGCACATCACCAAGGGGCTGGTCATGGTAAGCACCCGCCCCTACTCATCGCCCCTGGTGCCTGTGTGTGCGCGTGTCCTCACGGGTTTCCCTACCCCAGCCTCCCTCTCGTTCTTTTCGCCTGTTTTGGCCTCCCCACCCCGCCTTCTGAGCCCATCGATCGGTCTGTGTGCCCGTCTGCGGAACCAGAATTCTGCAGCTGGCCAACCGGGCCCCCAAAGTTTGTCTGGGGGCTGTTCTGAGAGGAGGCCGGTGGGGAGGGGGGAAGGGGCAGCTGACCTGGGCCATCCCCGCCACTCCCCCTGCCAGGTGGCCGGGGAGCTGAAATACCACCCCGAGTGTTTCATCTGCCTCACGTGCGGGACCTTCATTGGTGACGGGGACACCTACACGCTGGTGGAGCACTCCAAGCTGTACTGGTGAGCGCCCTGGTCCCCTCCGAGCCCGGGGTAACCCTCATCGCCCGCCACAGGTCTTCCACATCCCATGCAGGACGGTGGGTCGTTAATAGGAGCCATGGGGTAGGAGTGCCTGGTAAACAACCCAGGAGTTCACTGAGAACACGGCAGACATCGCTCTTGCTGATGTGTCACTGAGGTGCAGTTCTGGCACTGACCCTGACCCTGCAAGGTCAGGCCCGTCCCCCAACGAGACTGCCCTTGCTTCAGACACCAGCTCCAAGTTCAGAGGTTCCCACAACCCCTGAGGTTTCATGATTCTCTACACAACTCCAAGAACTCAGGAAAGCCCTGTACTTAGGATTCCAGGGCATTTTATAAAGGGTACAAATCCCTCTATATAAGGACCAGCCAGCTAGAGGATGGAAAGAGCAAGGTCTGGAGGGCCCCAAATACAGAGCTTCTGTGCACTACCCCGCATGGAATCAGGACGTGTGACACCCCCAACCTGTCCTGGCCTCACCAGAGTTTTTATCGGGGCCTCATTGTGTGGGCACTATTGATTGAAACATTGGGCACATGATTGAACTGATTCTCCAGACACACACACACACACACACACACACACACACACACACACACCCGCCTCCTTCAAGGTCAGGCTGGGTCACAGGTCCACCCTCTGATCACAGGTCCGGTCTTTCTGGTGACTAGCCCCCATCCTGAGTCACCTGTTAACAAAAGCTCAGGTATGGTCGCAGGGACACTCGTATTCCAAGGGTTTAGAGCCAGGACAAAGACCAGACAAATTCTGTATCATCCAGTGCTGATAAAGCTGGATTCCCAGGCAGCATGGCTTAATCCCAGATGGACTTTTAATGACTTCCTCCTGAACCGGATGTATCTACAGGCCTTTTCCTGGCCAGCTGACAGCATGTCAGGAGCAGACAAGCCCAGAATGATTGAGCCCGGTTCCTGCCCCAGTCCTATCAGGCAGCGACGACCCCTCTTGCCATGGGGAGCCATAAAGGGAGGCGGGGAGGAGAGAAGGTGCTGGGGACTGTCCTAACAGTCTTTTCTTCCCCCTCTTTGGGTCCCTACCACCTGCGGCCCTTGCAGCGGCCACTGCTACTACCAGACTGTGGTGACCCCCGTCATCGAGCAGATCCTGCCCGACTCCCCCGGCTCCCGCCTGCCCCACACAGTCACCCTAGTATCCATCCCAGCCTCGGCTCATGGCAAACGTGGCCTCTCGGTCTCCATCGACCCCCCGCACGGCCCGCCGGGCTGCAGCACAGAGCACTCCCACACCGTCCGCGTCCAGGGGTGAGTGGCTGGCCGAGGCCACGGCCGGTCTGGCTGTGGCCAAGGGTGCTCTTGGTGGGCGGCTGGAGTCTAGGGCACCCTGAGAGCGGGTGAGCATTTGGGCACAGACAGAACCCAGCTCTGACAATCTGCTGTACCTCGTCCCTGGCCCGGCCCTTCCTTTAAAAACCACGGCAGATGCTAGATGAAAAATATTGAAAACTTCTTCTTGAGTCCATGTATAACCCAACAAGAAAGAGGGGAGTAAGCAGCTCGGGGCCAAGTAGGGAGCCCAGGAGTGTCAGCAGAACCACTGAAGACAGCCTTGCCTTAAGGCCAAATGGAAATTGAGTGAACTTAAGCTTCTGTCTTTAAGTCCTTTTGTGGCTGGGCCTCTCAAAGCCCTGACCTGTAGAGGAAGCCAGCGGAACTAGAGAACTAAGGGCTCTCTGGACGAGGATGACTGAGAAACAGTCCACACCTTCCATCAGCCCCTCACTCCCGGAACTGTAAGATAAACTGATTTGAGCCTGAATGGAAGGGGAGGGGGAATCTCCCCTGAGAATTTATAAACAGGTTTGCAAAGCAAATTCCTATGCCGGGGTGGCTCAAAAAAAAAAAAAAAAAAAAAAAAAAAACGAAGTCACAACTGTAAGTTTAAAGTACTTCCCAACTGGCAGTGTTCCTTGGTAGAATCAGACGCAGCTCTTTTCGTTGGGTGGACTGAGCTAAGTGTCCCAAGGAAGCGATTCAGTCAAAACTCAGCGAGTGCGTAAGGAAGCAAGGCACTGTGAGACCCAGCAGACACAACAGGAAATAGAACCAGGCCCACAAGACCTCCAGATACTGGAATGATCAGAAACCATGTAAAATAATTTTATTCGATATGTTTTAATCATAAGAGAGGTTTAGAAAAAAATGAGGAAAGAGCAGAGAAATTTGGGGGCGCCCAGATGGTTCAGTCGGTTAAGTGTCCGACTTCGGCTCAGGTTATGATCTCGTGGTTTATGAGTTCGAGCCCCATGTCGGGCTCTGCGCTGACAGCTCAGAGCCCGGAGCCTGCTTCAGATTCTATGTCTCCC